GGACATATGTCCAACAGACATGCTTTTAAAGCCAAGAGTCAAAGCTAAGCTTATTTTGGGGAGTCAAAAAGCCCTGTTANCTTTCCAGGTTATTTTACTCCTTGATGTTTTATTTTACCCCTAAACTTTTTATTTTGCTCAATTCTGAGTATTTTACTCCTTTTTTAATCACCAGTGATAGTACATATTCAAATTACATAATGTGCAATTTTAGTTATTGAAAATATGTATTTTATTTTATGAATCAAGTCTGGAGATCCCCTTGAGATATTTTACTCATGAAATAACATCTAAGAATTCGGAGAACGACATATCTTGTTTTTTTAGTGAAAACTGAATGACCCATCAACACAAATAACTCAACAGAGAGAAAACACAATTTGCCAATAAGTTAACTTGAGATAGACACAAAAGTCCATTAATTTCATCAAATGCTGTGTCATCCCCGATACTCCAGGGGGTTACCCCTCATTTACACTCTCTGCACCCCTGGAATATGTTATGACAAAACCGAAGGCTCAGTGTGCCCGTGTGCCACCTTGTGGATGAGACAAAAAGACTAGTGTGATCCGAATCTCGTGTTCACATAATGGTAAAATTAATTGACTTTGAAATGGCTTGTCGCTCCTCTCTAATCTTCAAAGGAAATGTATCAGCTTAGTGATTGGACAGGTGTTTTACCTATGACAAATTAAATAGCTAGCCGTGTGACTTCAGTTTTGCAGACATATATTCTAGGGCTGCAGAGAGCAAAACTGAGCATATAATCCCTCGAGTATTGAGGATGATGTTGTATATAAAATAATAGATAATATGTTGAATAATAAAGGATGGAAGAATATATATCAATGGGTACTGCAGAACAATTTTAGTTTTGATGTCCCCATTATTACTAGACAAAGCAATGCGAACAATCCATTGGCACAACCCTTAAGGGCATCAGTAATGCAAAAGTTATAATCCACATAGATACACACAAAACCCTATTTCAAACAAGAGGCCCATGGGCCTTAACGGTCACCTGAGTCTATAGTATTTATTTTTGTTGTTGAAATATGTACCAATTTGAGTAAAAAATAGTATAATGTTAACTTAACTTTGTCAGGACCATGAGCTGATCATTCCTAGACCAATTTTAAGTGAGATCGGCCTATTAGAACTTAGTAGCAAAATAGCGGCCATGGCAGCCAAATTGTATTTCTGATTGACCCGAAAAATAACAACACTTTGTCAGGACCATGAGGCGATCATTCCTACCAACTTTCAGTTCAATCGGTCCAGCAGAACTTGACTTTAAGTTTGAAATAGGTTTTCAAAATGGCGGCCGTGGCGGCCATATTGGATTTCTGATCGACCCGAAAAATAACAACACTTTGTCAGGACCATGAGGCGATCATTCCTACCAACTTTCAGTTCAATCGGTCCAGCAGAACTTGACTTTAAGTTTGAAATAGGTTTTCAAAATGGCGGCCGTGGCGGCCATATTGGATTTCTGATCGACCCGAAAAATAACAACACTTTGTCAGGACCATGAGGCGATCATTCCTACCAACTTTCAGTTCAATCGGCCCAGCAGAACTTGACTTTAAGTTTGAAATGTAAAATGTTAACGGACGACGGACGACGGACGACGGACGACGACGGACGAAAACGGATAGCAATAGGTCACTTGAGCTAAAGCTCAGGTGACCTAAAAACACAATCTGCTATGTCGGAAGTCCTAGGGTACATACATAATGAAATTTTACACAGAGGATTTGAGAAGTGAACAAAGGGTCATAACTCTGTATATACATTGTATATATAGTGAGACACCAGACTCAAATATTTAGTATGTGACATCTGCAATCAGAAGAGGTACTTTTAAATTTGGCAATTGTAGGTGGAGAGTGTATATGAGTGGCTTGAGTGCCCTGGACAAAAGTGACTCACTGACTGAAGGACTGACTAGCTAACAGGCAGCTACGATAGTTACAAATCATGATTACGAGTCTGTACCATTCTTCCACTACTGTTTATAAAATTAAAGCTTGCCATGGGTACTGTGTTCATAATCTTGCAATGGGTACTGTGTTCATTATCTTGCTATGGGTATTGTGTTCATTATCTTGCTATGGGTATTGTGTTCACTATCTTGTCATGGGTACTGTGTTCATTATCTTGCTATTTGTATTGTGTTCATTATCTTGCTATTTGTATTGTGTTCATTATCTTGAAATAGGAACTGTGTTCATTATCTTGTTTTTGTATTGTGTTCATTATCTTGAAATGGGAACTATGTTCATTATCTTGTTTTTGTATTGTGTTCATTATCTTGCTATTTGTATTGTGTTCATTATCTTGCTATTTGTATTGTGTTCATTATCTTGCTAAGGGTATTGTTTCATTTTCTTGCTAAGGATATTGTGTTCATTATCTTGCTAAGGGTATTGTGTTCATTATCTTGCTAAGGGCTGTGTTCATTATCTTGCGATGGTCATTTTGTTCATTATCTTGCTAAGGGTTCTGTGTTCATTATCTTGCTAAGGGTTCTGTGTTCATTATCTTGTTAAGGGTTCTGTGTTCATTACCTTGCTAAGGGTTCTGTGTTCATTATCTTGTTGAGGGTTCTGTGTTCATTATCTTGCTATTTGTATTGTGTTCATTATCTTGCTATTTGTATTGTGGTCATTATCTTGCTATTTGCATTGTGTTCATTATCTTGCTAAGGGTATTGTGTTCATTATCTTGCTAAGGGTATTGTGTTCATTATCTTGCTTAGGGTATTGTGTTCATTATCTTGCCATGGGTACTGTGTTCATTATCTTATAAAGGGAACTGTGTTCATTATCTTGCTATTTGTATTGTGTTCATTATCTTGCTATTTGTATCGTGGTCATTATCTTGCTATTTGCATTGTGTTCATTATCTTGCTAAGGGTATTGTGTTCATTGTCTTGCAATGAGTATTGTGTTTATTATCTTTAAATAGGTTCTGTTTTCATTATCTTGCTAAGGGTATTGTGTTCATTATCTTGCAATGAGTATTGTGTTCATTATCTTGAAATGGGAACTGTGTTCATTATCTTGCAATGGTCTTTGTGTTCATTATCTTACTAAGGATTCTGTGTTCATTATCTTGCTAAGGATTCTGTGTTCATTATCTTGCTAAGGGTATTGTGTTCATTATCTTGCAATGAGTATTGTGTTTATTATCTTTAAATAGGTTCTGTTTTCATTATCTTGCTAAGGGTATTGTGTTGATTATCTTTCTAAGGGTATAGTGTTCATTATCTTGCTAAGGGTATTGTGTTCATTATCTTGCTAAGGGTTTTGTGTTCATTATCTTGCTTAGGGTATTGTGTTCATTATCTTGCTGAGGGTATTGTGTTCATTATCTTGCCATGGGTACTGTGTTCATTATCTTGAAAAGGGTTCTGTGTTCATTATCTTGCAATGGGTAATGTGTTCATTATCTTGCAATTGGTATTGTGTTTATTATCTTGTTAAGGGTTCTGTGTTCATTATCTTGCTATTGGTATTGTGTTCATTGTCTTGCTAAGGGTATTGTGTTCATTATCTTGCTAAGGGTATTGTGTTCATTATCTTGCTAAGGGTATTGTGTTCATTATCTTGCCATGGGTACTGTGTTCATTATCCTGAAAAGGGTTCTGTGTTCATTATCTTGCTAAGAGTATTGTGTTCATTATCTTGCTAAGGGTTCTGTGTTCATTATCTTGCTAAGGGTTCTGTGTTCATTATCTTGCTAAGGGTATTGTGTTCATGATCTTGCTAAGAGTATTGTGTTCATTATCTTGCTAAGGGTTCTGTGTTCATTATCTTGCTAAGGGTATTGTGTTCATTATCTTGCTAAGGGTACTGTGTTCATTATCTTGCTAAGGGTACTGTGTTCATTATTTTGCTAAGGGTATTGTGTTCATTATCTTGCTAAGAGTAATGCGTTCATTATCTTGCTAAGAGTATTGTGTTCATTATCTTGCTAAGGGTACTGTGTTCATTATTTTGCTAAGGGTATTGTGTTCATTATCTTGCTAAGGGTACTGTGTTCATTATTTTGCTAAGGGTATTGTGTTCATTATCTTGCTAAGCGTTCTGTGTTCATTATCTTGCTAAGGGTATTGTGTTCATGATCTTGCTAAGAGTAATGTGTTCATTATCTTGCTAAGAGCATTGTGTTCATTATCTTGCTAAGGATATTGTGTTCATTATCTTGCTAAGGGTACTGTGTTCATTATCTTGCTAAGGGTACTGTGTTCATTATTTTGCTAAGGGTATTGTGTTCATTATCTTGCTAAGGGTATTGTGTTCATGATCTTGCTAAGAGTATTGTGTTCATTATCTTGCTAAGAGTATTGTGTTCATTATCTTGCTAAGGATATTGTGTTCATTATCTTGCTAAGGGTATTGTGTTCATTATCTTGCTAAGGGTACTGTGTTCATTATTTTGCTAAGGGTATTGTGTTCATTATCTTGCTAAGGGTACTGTGTTCATTATCTTGCTAAGAGTATTGTGTTCATTATCTTGCTAAGGGTACTGTGTTCATTATCTTTCAATGGGAACTGTGTTCAATTTTTACTACAGAAATTATTGTATTCCTCATGATAAAGAAGTACAAAGTCTCAATTATCTCAAACACTGAAATTTGATCACACAAAAATGTATAGTCTTACAGCAACATTAGAGATTTAAATGAACATTAAATTACACTACTTGTAGAATTGAACTGATGTTTAAGTTTGTTTATTAGTAATAGGTACTCTTTGAAATACAAGGCTGCATACTGCATAGATAATAAACAGCTCACAAGCTGTATTTGATAACTAAAATATCTGGAAGCTATATTTGGGTACTGAAAACATTTAGTATTTGATTACTAAAATAACTCAAAACATCACAGAAATATGTGATAATTAGTCAATTTTAAATGTAATTGACAGATTGAGATGATCAAAGTGTGTGATGTTTGATCATGACCTGGTTCTAAAATAGGGTTGTCTTACCTCCACATCGACCGGCGTCATCCTAGTGCCAGTGATCCCGACAAATATATCATCCACATCAATCTGGATGTGCCGCTCCAATGGAAGACTGAGCTTGCCATGAGACAGGTAGGAAAGCACATCCAGCAGGACGGGGATGTGCAACCAGAACTTCAGACCGTTACCAAAGAACACCTTCTGTATACCATCGAATGTGCCGCGGTCCTGCAACACGCTGACCAGTGTCCGATTGTCCATCACATATCCTGCGTCCAGGAAGGGTGGAGGAGCTGCTTTCGCATAAGCCAGAGGTTCATATGTGGAGTGATTGAAGTCAAACACTGTCCAGTCATCTTGCTGCAGTGTTCCCTCCCAAATCTCTCCAGGACGTGTTATCCTCCAAATGTCACTAAACAAATTCAGTGTGTAGTCTTTTAAAGCCATATTGTACCTCAATATTAAAGGAAACCCAGGCACTTTTTCTCTATCTATTCCATATTCATCCACAGAATGAACAAAGATTATCATGCCCACTTTGTAATCGCGACAATATTTGTCAATCAGCTGTCTGTTCCAGTTGTCCATATTGACATATGCCTCCAAGTTTTCTAAAATGATCACACCAAATTTACTTTTATCAAAGTGTGTCAATGTTGGCAAGTTCCTGCCAGTGTTTTCAATTTTATATTCAATCCTAGCTGCCTCTAACACAGTAATGATATGTTTTGCCAGACTGGTATACGGGGATTCCACTAGTACTAACACACGCTTTGATATATGTCTGCTATCACGAGAGCTATGGTTCTTCGGTTTGACTAATGATTTATGAAAATGATCAAATCGACAAGTAATGGAAGGTTGAGGTGGGTTCACTCTCCGACGACTATTACCAATGATCTTTAGTTGATAAGATAAAATAATTACCACAACTATAACTATAAATATCCCTATTGACATAATTTTGCGTATGGACCTTGGCCATGGTCGTGAGCTGTATGATGGCCAACGATGAAACATCATCTTCAATCGCTCAACATTTCTTCGACACAACATCTTGAGTTCTGATGCTTCAAACCTGTGATGAATGACAGATTTAAATTCAAACTTTATTGTTTACTCTTCATCCATAATCCATCATTCCAGGATATGAAGTATCCAATGGGTGGAATGCTTCATAAAGTTTATGTCACGGTAACAACCTCATCAAGTCTGTCCTTGAATTCCTAATAACACTGCAAAACAAAGAAAAGGTAATTTTAAACAATTTGTATCCATTAAGAACAATTAGCCATTATGAAAAGTCATTCTACAGTCTACATCACCCTAATTATAATTGCTTTGATTAGAAGTCAAGTTTGGATGGCTTTCTCAATCAAACAATATAAAGTTTTTGTAATATTGATGCGATTATTAGCAGACACGATTAGCACAACTTCAAATTGAACCTGTAAGGAATTTAGTACACAGTGGAGCATTGTTAATTTAGCTACCATTATAATGACATGTCAGTTTTAAAAATTGTACCACTATCAATTCAGTTTTTAAAGGAACATTTTGTCCCATTATAATTATCTAGCCATTGTTCCAAGGCACAAATATAAACTGTCCCATTATCTAGCCAATGTTTTAGGAGAGAGATTGTCTGAGTTTGAAATAGATTGTCCTACTACATTGTATAGGTATAAACCAGTGTGTTTTGACATATTTTTCCACTATAATCTAGTGTAGACAAAACGGTTTCAGTAATCCAGCTGTTTCAAACTTCAGCCACATCTATAATTGGAAAGAAGTTAGCTGGAATATCCCGGCTCCACTGGACACATTGCTAGATATAAGGCGCAGTGACCTCTCACAGTGAAGACAAAACTATTGTCAACTTTTCGGAGAAAATTCCACCTTTCTCAAGACAGTATGTACATGTATACTTAAATACAGACAGAGACTGTATCAATCTATGCAATGTGGTACTTTAATATTAAATAAGTACATACAAATTAAAAACATACAGACACATACATTGTATATTGGGCAATACAATGCAATAATGCCCATGCATGGGGGCATTGGCTTTGAGAACTGATACATGTATAACAAACATACCTCCTATACCTGGTGTGTCCTCCGAAAGGGACGAAATAAAGCCAACATTATGCTTTTCTACCCTTTACACGCATGTTGCTATAGCAACTGGAAAGGTTTTACTTGTGAGCATGCAGCTCTTGGTAAAACCTCCTGGTGGAATGTCTTTCCATACCCTGAGGTGAAGTGCTCTAGTGAATCTTATAAGACTACTAATTACTCCCTGACACTATCTTCAATTAGTCAGAAAAATCAAATTGGCTCTGCTTACGATCTCTCTCAATAATGCTTTACCCATATACAGCTACATGTACAATGTACAAAGCTAAAACGCAATGCTTTCTTGAACATTACACTTGAAAAAATCAATATGGTTTTCTAGGGACACTGCTGCATGCCCACTAATGAAGTATAATAAAATAATAATGTATAAACTTTACAGTATTACATTAAGATGTAAATTCAAACTAATTACACATACCTGGTAATATATACAAAGTTATGTGCAAGCAGATCGGACGAACAGACAGATTGACAAATTGATAGGACAGAATGTAATTCTATCGTCAGACCTATTTCACTGGTAGCATGCATGTTTACCTTGTTCAGGATAGGCGATCATGATCAGGTGCGATATGATTTGTTCAGTATGGGGACCTGAAGAAATTACCCAAAATCTTGTTTGCGCGTATGTGACATATTATAGCTATGTAACATTTTCACCAAATTAATGTTTCTATCTCCATTCATGATTCCCATTATAAAAAAAATAAAAACATTTTACTCAACGTTCTTTAACAACCCCCAAAAAATACAGGCCCTGTGATGAATTAATGCATCACCAGGGCTTAAAGGGTTTAACAAAATTCCTTTAAGTAATTATTACAAAGTGTGGTTTATATTATCTCTAACCCAAGATTTGACAGTTGAAATGCATCCACCCATCAGCTGATTTTACATTTTGTATATAATTTGTTGAATTTAAAAGCCTATTGGATTATTGGATCCTAGTACCTGTATTACATCATATACCTGAACTATTGGCCTACATTTGAGACATCCCACAGGCAAAATATTTAGTTACATACATAACTAGTCTGATATTATCAACAACAATACACAATACAGGTGATACGTGATACAGTGGCCCTAGGATACTGACGTTTATAGAGTGAAGGTATCAAATAGAGGCTCATACTTGAATTTTGTTTAATTGTTTAGCACCAAATTGAAATATGTGTTTATGTATATACGTAGATAATGTTGATACAGGAGGATTATTTTTTAATTTAAGACTGTTACCAAAAGAAATATTTATCTTATTGATATTTGAAATTTGGAGAACAGTCCTATATTGCATGTTTCATTATATTTGTATTGCCTGCTCACATATTTCTATGACAAGAGTACCAGTCTGTGTGGGATATATCTAGCTATCTGTACGAAGGTTGTTCTCTGCAAAATTGGAAATTATTATACTAAAACCCTTTTGATGATTTCTTGCAATAAAATGTATCAAAGAACTGAAATTTTAAAAGAAAAAAAAATTGGTACTTTATTACTCAGGAAAGTTCAATTATTTTTTGGATGTGTTAACATTCACTTAGGGGTCCTGAACAAATTTTTTTCACAGACCAGGAATAAGTTCTTTTACAGTTTCTTGTAACGATTGACTCATTTTCAAAATTGTACCGGGAGTGTACTATAAGGTTTGAATTCAAAAATACTTGAGTGATAAGAAAGGGTCATAACTTGTATTAAATAACACAGTGCTCCCATTTTACTCCATATAATATGCAAATTTTCATTATTATGATTCTCATCACACATGCAAAATCAAAAGATTTGGTCAGAAACTGTTGGGACTACATTATGAAGTTATTTAAACAGACAGACAGATGGATGGACAGACTTGACAAACAGCATAACATCATTTTATGCATTCCACTTTAGGTGGGCATATAAAACGAGATTCAGCAGTCTGGATCATAGGGTATTTCTACTCGAATTGAAAAAACAAAAAATCCCATTTTTAAAACCCACTGTGCTTGTCAAACAAAATGAAGCATGCATGCATTTGTTGCACAAGTTTTTTCACACAAATTGCTGTGTTTTCATATCAAATGGGATTAAGCAGTTTTAGAGGTGGAATCCTTGTGTAATTTGAATGTCAGTGATCTGTGATCTCCTCCGACAGGTATAGGCTCTACAGAGACTTGGGGATTTGACAATGTTCCCCAAAGCTACACAGAGTATAGCCTGGCCCCATTTGAGCAGGTTACATACTGGTAATGTGATCAATATCTAGGATACACTGCTCACGCAATCCACCGCCTCACTCGCACATCACACAGAGGCCACAGTAAACAATAGTTAGAATAAGGCTATCATTAACTTAAAAGCTTTTGTTCCATACGAAAACTGATACAATGTCTTTATTACGGTTGAGCAAATAAAAATAATCATCTATCTATAAACCTGTACACAAATAAAACACCATTTTGCATTTATCACTCTATCGGGTGATCTGCATTACAGCATTTGCACCCAACAATTTCAACCCCAAGCTGGTGTTATTGGGCAATCCATACATATAAACTCAACAGGTATGTAGACATAGGTAGTAAGCTTACAGTAACTAAAATATATGTATGTTTGCATTGCTATTCATGTTACCAAGATAATGTACAGTGTAACTAGCATATGTTTGAGTCGCAAAACACTTTAATATTGTCTAAAGTAGAGTGTTCTTGTATTATTATTGCTCTCTAAAACATGATGTAACTAGTATATATTTGAATCGCAAAATACTTTAATATTGTCTAAAGTAGAGTGTTTTTGTGTTAATATTGCTCTCTAAAACATGATGTAACTAGCATTCAGTGTTCAGTGTTGTTCATATTGCTATAGAATATAAAATAAAATATATCTAGATTACACTCACATTGCTATAAAATATAAAATAAAATATATCTAGATTACACTCACTTTGCTATAGAATATAAAATAAAATATATCTAGATTACACTCACATTGCTATAGAATATAAAATAAAAAATATATCTAGATTACACTCACATTGCTATAGAATATAATATCAAATATATCTAGATTACACTCACATTGCTATAGAATATGATGTAACTAGAGCAGGCTTGCAATGCTACAGAATCTAAAATATGATGTAACTAGGGCAGGCTTGCAATGCTATAGAATTTAAAATATGAGGTAACTAGAACAGGCTTGCAATGCTATAGAATTTAAAATATGAGGTAACTAGAACAGGCTTGCAATGCTATAGAATTTAAAATATGAGGTAACTAGAACAGGCTTGCAATGCTATAGAATTTAAAATATGAGGTAACTAGAACAGGCTTGCAATGCTATAGAATTTAAAATATGAGGTAACTAGAACAGGCTTGCAATGCTATAGAATCTAAAATATGATGTAACTAGGGCAGGCTTGCAATACTAAAGAATCTAAAATATGATGTAACTAGGGCAGGCTTGCAATGCTATAGAATCTAAAATATGTTGTAACTAGGGCAGGTTTGCAATTAATGCTACAGAATCTAAAATATGATGTAACTAGGGCAATACTATAGAATCTAAAATATGATGTAACTAGGGCAGGCTTGCAATGCTACAGAATCTTAAATAAGATGTAACTAGAGCAGGCTTGCAATAATATAGAACCTAAAATATGATGTAACTAGGGCAGGCTTGCAATGCTACACAATCTAAAATATGATGTAACTAGGGCAGGCTTGCAATGCTAAAGAATCTAAAATATGATGTAACTAGGGCAGGTTTGCAATTAATGCTACAGAATCTAAAACATGATGTACCCGGTAACTAGAGCAGGCTTGTAATACTAAAGAATCTAAAATATGATAAAACTAGAGCAGGCTTGCAATACTAAAGAATCTAAAATATGATGTATATATGTAACTAGGGCAGGCTTGCAATGCTATAGAATTTAAAATATGGTTTAACTAGAGCAGGCTTGCAATACTATATAATCTAAAATATGATGTAACTAGGGCAGGCTTGCAATGCTACAGAATCTAAAATATGATGTAACTAGGGCAGGTTTGCAATTAATGCTACAGAATCTAAAATATGATGTACCCGGTAACTAGAGCAGGCTTGC